ATGTTGCCCAATAACAACTAATCATATATATAAATTCTACAAAAATTCTAAAAAATATTAATGTAATCATATATATAAATTCTACAAAAATTCGAAAAATATTAATTAGTAAATAAATAATAATATAATTTTAGTTTCATAATTATATATTAAATAAGTAAATTGATATTAATATAAAAATTAGTAAATAAGTATTACTAACTACATAAATAATCAGATTATTCATTGATTTCAATAAAATTAAACATGTAAGCTTAGATGTATTAAATAGTTAATTCAGCATTTTAATCCAAAATTCTAAAATTTGCGTATAAAATATTATAAGTTATAATTCAATGATGTAATAATTTTAAAAAGTTTTGATATAGAAACAAATGGTGTCCAGTGCAAAGGAAAAGTTTGATAGAAATGTATGTTTAAAAAATTAAAAAATAACACACAAATTTTATTAACAATTTGTAGTAACCTATAAAATAAGAATAAATATCATATTTAGTAATAAATAATTAACAAATAAATAAATAAATTAAAAAAATACATTTGGCATAGACTAGAAATAGTAGATAAAGATCGACTATTGAAGAAGTTGCTAATCTCCATGAATCATAAATGACCATGATAATTGTATTATATGTAAATTATTATGAAATTTAAATTAATGAATATTAGATATGTTTTAGAGTTTATTCTCTCGTTAGAATTTGATTTTATAAACCATAAGATATATATTATTCTCCGGTGAAAATACAATTTTATACCATATATAATATATAAAATATAAGATAATATTAGCTAAAAATGATAATAAAACCAAAATTTATATTATCTTAAATTTTGCCATTATTTTTTGAATTTGCATCATATAATAATTTTGTAAGTTAAGTATTTGAATTAAAAGTAAACAATAATTATACTATTCAAGATATTTTGGATAATATTATTATTATATTAAAGATTTTTTACATGCTTTTAAATTTTCATTTCTCAAATTTTTTAAATTAAATTTATACAGTAACTAAATTATATGCCAAATTTATTTTTAGTATATAATTATTGATATTATATATTAAATATATTGAATTATGATCTAATCATAATATAAAAATTACCTTAATATAAAATATTCTATTTTTGGGTAAATTTACATTAAAATGTTATGAAATTATATGTAATATGACAACTAATCGAATATTCGATTGATAGATGATTTTTTATGTTCAATCTTTTTAGGCAGCTCTTCTTTAATATTTAATATGGTTATTAAATTAGGAATTATATTGTGATAGTATTTTCATTAACAATAGATATATTTAATATTTTATTTTAGTAATTAAAAACCTTCCCCCTCATTTTTAATTTTCAAAATATCTTATAGTTGATAATAGATATGGATATTCAAATTTATAAATAGTCAATTATGTAATATTAATAAATAATGTGGTTTGTTTTTTAATAAATACATAAAATATTTTTAAATAATATTTAATTATTTATATTTAAAAATTTTGAAATATTAAAATAAAAAATAAAAAACTTATCATAACTCAACAAAATGGAATAAAATCCAAATTAGATTTGAAAACTAGGAAAATAAAAATTTCCAACTATATAAAAATTAAAAATTCAAATTCAAATTTGTAAATTCCATAAATATATTATTTGAGTAAAAATTATAATTTTATAATTATTTAGAAAATACAAATTAAATTTTCACAATTGTGAACACAATTTAAATTAGGTAGTTAAATTAAAGAAAGATTTGGTAATTTAAATTGGTAAATTGTATTTGGTAATATTAATTTGTTAGTTTAAATTTATATTAATTTTGGTATTAATTTGGAAATATTACCATTTACAATAATTTAAATTTTTTTGAACATTATTGAAATTAGATAGTTAAATTAAAGTAAGATGTAGTTGTTTAAATTAATCACTTGTGTTTTGTAAGATTAATTTGGTAATTTGAAATTTACTAAACTTTAGGTATGATTTCAGATATATTGTAAATTATAATAATGTGAAATAATTTGAAATTTTTTTAAGACAATCTAGATTAGGTAGTTAAATTAAAGTAAGATTGAGATTGAGTAGCTTTAAATTGGTAACTTGTATTTGGCAAGATTAATTTGGTAACTTGAACTTTACCAAAAAGTTTTAGTATTATTCTAGAAATATTTTGAAAAGAAATAAAAAAAATTTAAAATTTTTTTTGAAATTAAAATAATTTGAAAAATTATGAGTAATGTCTAAATTAAATAGTTAAATTAAAGTAAGATTTGGTAGTTGCAATCCCTAACTTGTATTTGGTAAGATTCATTTAGTAATTTGAAATTAACTAGAATTTTGTTATTATTCAATTCACTTTTTACTGAAATTAGTTTTGTTTTTAACACTATTTGTTTGGTATGAAAATAAATTTTCACAACTATGTAAAAACAAAAAATAAAAAACTTAATTGAATTTGAAAATTTGGTAAATATTTCAATTAAGAAAAAAATTTAATTGCAAAAATATTTCAAAAAACTAAAATATATTTTTGTAAAATATTTAATTTCACTCATCATATTTTAAAACACCAAAAATACTCATATATTTGAATTCATAAACTCTTGATTTACATGAATAATTTTGAATTTAATAAACTTTCATAAATAATAAAAATTTAAAAATCTAAAATTCAAATTAACATAAAAAATAGATTTTATGATTCTTATTTAAAAGAAATCAATATCTTGTATTCTAACATGTTCAATAAATCAAGTCTAGAAAATTGAATCGAAGTATGCGTTGAATTATGATTGAAAATAACAGTTACATATAAAAAAATTGAACATATTAAAATAAAAAAATAATCAAGATATAAAGGTGTGTAAAAAACACAACAATTTAATATAAAAAAATATTAAACATATTAAATTAGAAATATTTATTCAAGGATTGCAGAATAAATATCTGAGTAATCTCTCTTCAAATAAGAGTGTCTTAGATATAAATAAAATATTAGAAAATTGTTTCTCATTATTAAAACTCAAGATCCTAAAAAATAATATTTTTGATAATAATTAAAATCAAAAAATACTACACAAATTAAAATAAAAATTACATTGGATGGAGGTAGATTAGATATCTGAATTATTTTCGTCTAAGCAATAAAAGAGCCATGTGTTGATGATAAAAAATTGAAGATTATTTTTGCATGCAGTAACTTCTCAAATAAAAAAAATTAAAACATATTAAAATAAAAATTAATAATCATGATAAATGTATATAAAAACATAACAATTAAATATAAATAATATTAAACATATTAAATTAATAATATTTATTCAAAGATTATAGAATAAATATCTGAGTAATCTCTCTTCAAGTAAGAGTGACTTGGATCATAAATAAAATATTAGATAATTTTTTCTCATAATTAAATCTCAATATCCTAAAATATAATATTTTCGATAATAATTAAAGTAAAAAATACTATACAAATTAGAATAGAAATTATATTGGATGGAGGTAGATTAGATATCTTAATTATTTTTCTCTAAGCAATAAAAGAGCCATGGGTTGAAGATAAAAAATCAAAGATTATTTTTGCATGCATTAACTTTTTCTATTAAAAATTAAAACAGCAATTGATATAAAAAGTAATAATTAAACATACAAAGCTAGAAATAAATAACCAAGGGTTGCAAAATAAATACTAGAATAATATTTCTCCATGAAAAATACCTTGGATTGTAGATAAAATATGGGAGAATAGTTTATAGGACTCAAAACTGATGATTGAATTTTTTATGACAATTTAAATCAGAAAAAATAATACAAAAATTAAAGTGGAATAAATATTAAATGATGCAAGATTAAATATGTAATGTATTTTTTGAAGAACGAAAAAAATTCACAGATGGGAAAGAATTTTTTGGTGAATATATTATTTACGTGAAAATATAAAACCAAAAATTATTTTATTTCATTTTGAAAAGAAACACCTGAATGAGATTATGAGAATTTGATATTATTTGTGATTTGAATTAATCACTTAAAATTATATATATAGGTAAAAGCTTATGTCAACTTAAGTGGATAGGAATAAGTCATCCACCAACTTTTTTAACTGTTTATATTGCATTGGGATCCGTGATAGATATGAAGAATCTTTTAAGATTTATGCATCTTTTGATGGCACAAATCTTGAGACAAGATGAGTTGATAAAAAGTTTGGTGGACAAGACCTCCTATATATATGAGAAAACGAGAGGTGAGCCGGCAGCGTAGGAAATTTCCTACGCTGTCGCCATGTGTCAAGTTTTTATTCGCTGGACACTCATTTATAGAAGTAACCGATTTTCGAGCTAGTTAAATTTATAAAAAATAGAGGACCTAGATGTAAAAAATCACAAATCTCTCCTGATTAATAGCTGTCTTTCCTAATTATTCCACAAAATCCCGCTGCCCTCCTTCCCTAACAAAATCTCGCTGCCCTCCTTCCCCAAAAGCGCCGACAGCCCTCCTTAATCCCGGCGTGGCTGCAAAATCCCGCTGCCCCGTTGCAAAATCCCGATGTGAATAAAGATTTTTAACATAATCTCACATTGGAAACCTGAGAGGATCACGTTTGGATAATTCCTTGTGCATGAATATTCAAACCACAAGGAAGATTTTTAACATAATATAATTATATCAGGACACTGACACAGAAAATATTCAAGCACAAGGAATTATCCAATGACTGTTAAAAATCTTCTCGTGACTATGTTAAAAATCTTCTCATGACACTAACACAGGAAATATTCAAGCACAAGAAAACATTCAAACCTGAGAGAATCACGTTTGGATTTATCTGTGGACATAATCTCACACTGGAAATGATTGAAAAACCTAAAGAGACTTGAATACAAATTTGGAGCCAACCAATTCCTAACTACTTAAGCTTTTAGCTTAGTTTGGTTTCAATCCGATCGATCAACATCTTATCTTAATCAAGAAAAAGTAGCATCCTCACAGGAACACAAAACCATAATTAATAGAGAAGGAAAGATAATAGAGAATTTAACAGACTTATTACATACACACAGGTACACAATACCATAGTTACTCGTTAAATAGAGAAGTTAGCATACATATTACACACACAGAATGAAGGAACGAATATAAAAAGGAAGCAAACACGTACATGACACTGACACAGGAAATATTCAAGCACAAGGAATTATCCAATAACTTTCGATGTGAATGAAGATTTTTAACCTTATCTGGACTAGTCAACTCGTGATTTGTATGCTCATTAACAAGTTTGCTCACTATCCAAGTACATTTATCAGTTTGATTGACCCGCAACATCGCCTTTGAAGTTCAACAGCTTATGTTAATCTATATAGTCGAAAGAATTTATGGTGATCAGGATGCATGAATGCTAATTGAAAATCAAAATGGAGAATGAAATAGGATGAATGAATAGAGAGAAATTTGGTTCATGAAGGACCCAAACTGCTTAGAGTCACTACGCCAAAACTCCAAAGTTATGGTGAGGATTGAGGGTTATGCTTCTATTCTTAAAAACACCATATCTTTGCGCTATCCCTAGAGGCTTTTTATAATTTATATAATTTTTGTTCAACTTCTGTCAATCTTTAGAGCATTTATAGTTTATATAATCTGTTAGCCTGCAAAGTTAAGCTTTTGGGTAAGTGGTTCAGTTGCATTGTGTCAGAGAGCTAATTGGTAAATGGTTTAGGGGTTCAAACTTCAAATTACTCCATGAATATATTTTTAAACAAATAATCATCGTATTTTCTTGCAAGCGAGGACGGCTACACATTGTTTGGAGATCTTGGTTTATTTGTTCCACACTTGGATCAAAAATTATGAAGGTAACCACTTCTCCCCTATACAACTCTTCAGTTTTATTAGCTAGTAGGTCAAGACTTTAGATCATTGGATTTTCCTCATTAGAAAGCATCGTTGTGTCTTCAAATAATAATGATGTCACTCAAAAGACGAGCTGAACCAGTCCCTTGTCAAAGAACATTTTTCGGGCTATTCTCAACGAAAGAAACTAAACAAAAAAGAACAAGAATACATACTACTATACACAGTGTATAGTAGTATGTATTCTTGTTCTTTTTTGTTTAGTTTCTTTCGTTGAGAATAGCCCGAAAAATGTCTAGGGAAGGCAGAAGCAGATGTTATTGTTATCGGGAGTGGTATAGGTGGAGTATATACCTTCTGTCTTAACCTGGATCATTGGTACTACTCGAAGATCTCCAAAGATTTTTCTACAGATCTCCAAAGATTTTTCTTATGATCGCTTGGAGATCATAAGAGCCCAAGATAGCAGAACAAGTCCCACACCAGCTCTTCATCGACTCTTATCAAATGCCTAATATATAGACAAACCAAGAAAACATCTGATCAGGTTAGGCATAGTAATGCATGCACAGAGGTTTCTCCAACAATTTGGAATAAATTAGATCAATCAATAGACGATAAGAGCACCACAAATGCAAACATGTCTGCAACTAGCAATCACATGAAAGAATGGGCCATATATAGGCTGCTAAGGAAAAGCCGAACAACGAAAGAAACTCCCCACAACCACGAGCCGAGATCCCACAACAACGAGAATGCCAACCATTTTAACCCTCGATTCGAATCCAATCAATCGCGAAGAACTTAGTAGAGCTTGTGGGAGGAGGAAGCATCCAAGGGGTGGATGAGGTAGGTGAGAATGAGGGCTACCAACATTAGCAAGTAAGCAATCTCTTGGTCAATAGATGTTCCATCGCTGGTGGGCGCCGGAGCGGGAGCCTGAGCTTGAACCGCCGGCAATTCAATGATGAAGATGACGGCGAAGATCGCTAGCACGCCAAATGAAACCCTAGGTACCGCTGCCGCCATTTCCTTCTCTAAGGATCTTTGGTATTTTTAATAATTTTTCTTTTTCTTTTTTCCCACGAATTTTTTGGATGGAAACCAACAGATTACGAGGTCTGGGAAGGTGAAGAGATGGGCGTAGATCAGCGGCGCTTTTGGGATACGAAGATGAAGGAGGGCAGCCGGATTTTATGGAATAATTAGGAAAGGCAACTATTAACCAGCGGAATAATCAGGAAAGGCGGCTATATATTCAATTATTTGAAGGCTGATCTATATCCTAAGAAGCCAAAGAGGATCCAAGAGAAGCCCAACAATGCTAAATGAATTAAATATAGGGGCTGTTTGGTTCGTTTCCTAGATATTAGGGAAATGCAATTCTATGTAAAGAAACATAAGTTTTTAGTTTTCCAAACTTATCTAAGAAATTGATTGTTTCGCTTTAGTTCGCACATAAAAAATGGTGGAAAACCAATGTATTTACTTTTCTTGTGTTTGGTTCGCATGAAAAAAAGGAAAAACTATTGTTAATATGATATTTCCCATTTTTCTTGTGTTTGGTTGGTTTTGAAGTTTGTAAGGAAAAGTGTTTATAGTCCCCATGGTAAGATTACCCCCACTATATACAAATTTTTTTGTGCTTGTAATATGAGGTAATCTTAATCATATAAAAGTTCAAATGTTCCTGTTTGAGATTGAAAAAATCACACGAATCCTGTAATAACCTGATTATTCATAAATTTACGTAGTACATACCTGAATTACCCAAAAAATCTACTGAAACCTATTAAAACATATAAACAACCTGAATAGTCATAAATATGTATATAACATAGCAAATGACATCAAATCTGATAATTTATGCATGTTGATGAACTATATGTGCAAAAAAACTGCGTATCTGATTTGACCTGAAATATACCTGTTTGAGATGGAAAAAAAATCACACGAAACCTGTTTTCGAAGAAAAAATAAAAGAGACCTGTAATACCCTGATTATTCATAATTTTATGAAATATGTACCTGAATTAGCCAGATAATCTTATAAAACCTATAAAAACATATAAACAACCCGATTAGTCATATATATGTATATACTATAGCAAATCGTATCAAACCTGTAAATACCAAACATGTACGTAATGGCTGAGGGCTCAGAATCTGGTCAATATCATCATAGTAACAAAAAATAGCCATGGGAGCTCGATGACGAGCACAAATAGCAACCAAACACCCAACAACATAGAGCTAAACAAGCTCGAATCATCATAGTAACCAAAAACAGCCACAGGAGCTCGACGACGAGCACAAATAGCAGCTTGATGTAAATTTCTTTATGTTGGATTAATTGAAGTATGTTATTCGCTATAGCTATAATCTGGCTTGAGAGCTTTTAATCGCTAATTGAAGTATGTTATTCGCTATATCCAATGCTAAAAAATGAGGCATCCTAGACGAAAAATTCCGTTTAGGATACCCAGAATTCCGTCTAGGACGCGTATTCTAGACGGAATTCCGTCTAGAATACGCGTCTAGTTTATTTCCGTCTAGTATGTAGTATTCTAGACGGAAATTCCGTCTAGAATACATCCTAGACGGAATATTCTAGACGGAATTCAAAACCGTCTATAATACATCCTAGACGGATTATTCTAGACGGAATTTCCGTCTAGAATAATTTATCCTAGACGGAAAAAAATTCCGTCTAGAATAAGTATTCTAGACGGAAATTTCCGTCTAGAAATCTTATTCTAGACGAAATTTATTTTTTTAATTTTTTTAATTTTTAAAAAGCATTCTAGACGGAATTTAAGCATCCTAGACGGAATTTCCGTCTAGGATACTATGCTACAGTAGTAGTAGTTTTTTTTTTTTTTTTCAAGAATCTACTTTGGGTGCATGTACACAATATTGAACAATAAATTATATTCATATCCAACACAATCTAATTATATTCCAATATTAAATTTTATTATATCATTATATTCAAATAATACATTCACCAAAATAGTAGAGAGATACATAAATTATTTACAAACTTTTACATAAATTATTTACAATGGCTATGACACTGCAGAAGCTTCTTCAATTCCTTTCCTGTACATTTACTCATGCCCTCTTCTTCTCATTCTTCACCTTCTTCCTCATCATTCTGAGCGTAAGCAGGAACTGAAATTTAAGCTCATGTAAACAATTGATTTCCATATCAAAAATCTTACCTAAAATTCTTAAAAGGAACACAAAATATAGGAAGAGCTAGAGAGTGTCACTGTAGAACCCCGTAAATTTATTAATCAATATATGGAGTTATTAGTGGTAAACATTTCTTTTGCGATGAATAATCATATATAGGCTAAATAAATGTGATAAATAGTGTTTGGGAGCCTAGCAAGAATTTCTATGTTAGAGAAATCAAGGGGATTGATCAGCATGTGATAGAAGGCATAGCAGACAGTTGTTCTACTGTGCGGTCGACCGCGATATGCGCGGCGGTCGACCGCACAGCAGTCGGGCACACAGGAGACTTTTCTCCTGCTGTGCGGTCGACCGCGCAAGGCGCGGCGGTCGACCGCACAGCAGACAGAGAGTTTTTCTGTGTTGGGTCTTAATGGGTTTCGGGTCGGGTTCGGGTCGGGTTGTGGGGTTAGTATATATACTATCATACCCTAAAGAGCCCCATTTCTCATCTGAAATCAGAACCCTAGCCACCTCTCTCCCCTCAAACCCTAGTTCCTCTCTCTTTGGTGATTTGGAGGAGCTTTGGAGGGTTTTTCAGCGGATTTTTGGTGGTTTCAGCGAGAGGGATCATCTCCCTCCAGATCTAGGGCTTCGTTTTCGTCGTAGGCGAGTAACATCCCGCCCAACTTCATCCCTTTTCCTTTTTATGCTTGGATTTGAGTTTTATTCGGTTTTTATTGAGCCCAAAATCGTATTTTTGTGTAGATAAGTAGATCTTATGGCATGGGATGCAAGAATCATATATTTCAGTCTTAAAAAGTTCACTAATGATGTTTATGAACTCCAAACTGAGCCAAATTAGTGTCAAATGATATCTATGTGAGTCTAGTTTCCAAAACGAAAAACTATTCTTAAAAAGAGTTTGTCCAGAGAAAGATATTCTCATTTTACTAATGCTATGTTCTGCAGAAAACTGCAGATGTGCTGATTTGAGTCGACTCATCGGAGTTTTTCCTATTTCGTTTGTATTTCTGCTTGATCAACTACTATGCTTATACTTTCATACAGTGTTCATATATGATCGAGGGTTCTATTGAACTTTTGTTGAACATGAGTAGTTGCCTTGTTTATCGAGTATTAAATTGTAGTATTCATGTTTTCATCTACACATATGAGATGACTTTTCTGACACAAGCTTAGATCTGTACCGTGAGGCATGCACAAGAGTAGAATATGTATACCTTTACTTCTAGTATTCCATGGTTTATATATACAGTCCTCGTGTTGGACTATAATCCATTGAAGTCCTCGTGTTGGACTATAATCCACTAAAGTCCTCGTGTTGGACTATAATCCATTTCAGTCATCGTGTTGGACATTTACATATTTGACCACGTCTTGGACATTTGTTAAGCTATGAGTATGACACTTATCTAAATCAGGACATGACATGATTACATGAGATTTGGACATGATAGCTACCTAGGCTGTACATGACACTTATGTAATTTTGACCTTTGACACTTATTTGGTTATGACATGACACAGTATTTAAGTTTTGAGATGGGTTGTATTTCTCTTTATTATTGTTCCTGTATTAGATTTTGGGTTTGGTGTTTAGGGATTTACAATTTGAGATACAAGGTATATACATGAGGGTTTCCTTGTTTGGATTATTTCGCTCGACGTACCTATGCCCGTGTTGAAACTTCCTAAGTACTAAAGCCCATTGTTTATTTTTAGGATAATTGCTTATATATATGTATATGTTTTGTGATAACTGTATTTTCTTATACAACGAGCCCTCTCCATTGGGGTTGGTTGTGATGTTGCTCGCTAGCGCTTTGACGCTCGTTGTCCCTCCCCCTTTCAGGTCACGAGCCAGGAGCCCGGAGAGTCGCAGGTTAATGGCGACACACTTTAGTGTTCGACTATCTATTCTAGCTATGTTTTATTTTGGAGATCCACTATAGACTTCGTTAGACGGTTGAGGACTTTATTTCTAGATGTTGTAAAGGCTGTGTGCCTTATTTCCTTTACTCAGACTTGTTGTATTTGGGATGTATTAAGAACCCCAGTTTGTTCATTTCAGATATTGACTTTATATTCCTGTATGTTGGATGATGAAATACTATTTTTACCTCTATCATTTTCATCAGTTATCTCTTGTAGTATTTTTCACTTGCTTTGTACCTACACCTGTTATTGACTCACTAGAGTGATAGAATTGTGATGGTGAAACATGTTATTGCACGGTGTGGTGCATGGCAGGTTTGACATTCTTGGTTTCACCTCGGATGGTGCATGACAGGTTTGATATTATTTGTTTCACCTTGGACTGCAGTCTTGTGTGAACCCAGGGGCGTCACAGTTGGTATCAGAGCTCTAGTTCCAGTATCCTTAGGATCATCCTGTGTCGAGTCGTGGAGCTAGGATAGAGTTTCCTAGGATTCATGTATAGAGTCCGTAGGGATTTTCTAGTATGAGTGAGGACGACTTATGCGTATACCTCAAAATTTGAGGAAATTTTTTTTTTATGATAACTATTTTGCAAATTTAAAATATTTTGTGTGAATACTATATGTTGTGAAGATTGTATTGTGA